GTTTTCCTAGATAAGTAACAACTGTAAGATCTTTGAGAACTTAAAAGTAAGAAATTCGCTGAATTAGTTATCTCTTATGGATAACAAATTAACCTAAATTTAATGGCTTAAAACAACGAATATTTATCATCTCAATTTCCTGTGTGTCAGTAATCTGGGCACAGCTTAGCTGGGTCCTCTGCTGGTAGTTTCACATAGGGGCTGCCATCAAAGTCTCAGCGGGGGTTTTAGACATCTCAAGGCTGGACTGGGGAGGAACCATCCCAAGACCACTGACGTGGTTGCTGGCAGGATTCAGTTCTTTGCTGGCTGTTGGCTGGAGGGCACCTCATTTCCTTGCCATGTGGATTGTACAAAGGGCAGTCACAATATAGCATCTGGCCTCCATCACAGAAAGTAAGCAAAAAAGCAAGAGAGGACAGGCTTGCAAGACAGAAATCAGAGTTTCTTTGTAACCTAATTTTAGAAATGGTATACCATCACTTTTGCTATATTCTATTTGTTAGAAATAAGTTACTACACTTTTTTCAGCCCACCCTCAAGAAGAGGGAATAGACAAAGGCATGAATGTCACAGCTAGGAATCATGCAAGCTTGTTAGTCAGACTTCTCCAAAGAAACCCGAACCAGTAGGATGTACATACATACACAGAGAGAGAAAANATAAATTTGAGACATTAGAGATTCTAAAAATAGTAATATCTTGAAAGTCCTATTTATGGGCTACTTCAGTTTTTGAAAAGTGGAAAAGCCAGTTGTTTGGTGTCCTGTTGCACAAACCTTTCCGTTCACCAACTTTTCTAGGTGTTTCAACAATACAGATAATTCATGGAGAGTAGCAGCAGCTCTCTTCTATGGCTTCTGCACAGAAGCTAGTATGTCTTCAGGAAAGCACTTAACTGGTCAATTTGATGGGCCAGGAAATACCACAGACTACATGAAATGGTAGTTTTGTTGTTTCTGTTATGATACATTGGCAACTAAAGGAATTAGTGAATATGAAAATATTCTGTAAACCGTAGAGCACCAGACAAATAAAATATAATTTGGGCAATAGTTCCTGAATAAAGTCTGTTTTTACCACTTAAAAAAAACCCCACATAATTTGTTTTTTAAGTATTGAGTTATATTCATTTAAAATTTATTAGTTTGGAATTCTTTTTTCACATTTTCATATTTAAATGTTTGTTCATATGTGTGTTTTCAGATAATCACAAAGACTGTTCTGGTGTGTCCTTACACCTTACACGTCTGCTGTAAGTACTTCCAGTTTTCCTAGATAAGTAACAACTGTAAGATCTTTGAGAACTTAAAAGTAAGAAATTCGCTGTATTAGTTATCTCTTATGGATAACAAATTAACCTAAATTTAATGGCTTAAAACAACGAATATCTATCATCTCAATTTCCTGTGTGTCAGTAATCTGGGCACAGCTTAGCTGGGTCCTCTGCTGGTAGTTCCACATAGGGGCTGCCATCAAAGTCTCAGCGGGGGTTTTAGACATCTCAAGGCTGGACTGGGGAGGAACCATTCCAAGACCACTGACATGGTTGCTGGCAGGATTCAGTTCTTTGCTGGCTGTTGGCTGGAGGGCACCTCATTTCCTTG